AGTTTCAGATATGTATTAAGGAAGTATGGCAAAAGGATGGTCCAAACACATGGGTCATTGTAGGAGTGACAAATCGCGTAACCGGAGCGAATAGAGGGTTTCACAACCATTAAAAAGTGTCGTATCCAGAACATCATCGGCACAACAAACAGTTTAGTGAGGCTGAGAAAGAGAGGTTGATATCAATGAGGAAGGCAGGGGTGAGTCGAAATAAGCAAAAGACGACACTCAATACTGAAGAGGGTATGCATCATGATATCAAACAGATGTACAACAGAAATTACAAGGCAAGATCGGATGAGATGGGTGAAATAGAAGCGATACGTCATCCTCATCGACTCGACCTACAAGATGAACAGGTATGGCTGGCCATGGGTTGAGATTATTGGGGTTACTCTAGTCAATAAGAATTTCAAGATTGCATGTGCAGTTATTAAGCAGGAAACAAAGGAAACATATGAGTCACTGTGCGATGTATTAAAGGGTTGCTTGCTTCTGTACTTGTGGTCTTCCCTCTCCCATATACTGTCCACCTACTTTGTTTATGAAACGTCAACAACTATGTGAAGAAAAAGTTTGAGCAATTACTGGGTGGAATTGCACAAAGAGAGGTAGCACAGGCAGTATGGAAGAAATATTTCTACAAAAGCTTCATGGAGTTGGACGAGGGAAGGTTTTGTTCGATTGATTAATGAGTATGAGAGGGTTTGGACATTGAAGAACATAGATATGGTCGACTATGTGCGAGGTGAGTGGTTGCCTCATCAGAAAATGTGGGCAATGTGCTACACAAACCATGTGTTTCATCTTGGTAACACGAGCTCGAATAGAGTTGAGTCATCTCGCTCTTCATTCAAGGCTTTCCTTGTGTCTGGGAGAGGAGAGATTGACACTTGTTTTGCGAAGAACCACAACTACATGGAACATCAGTTTCTAGAAGTGGTGAATGAACAGCATAAGTCACTGAGGAGGGTTCATGCATGTTTTTGAGGAGGCTTAATGCTTGTTTTTGAGGAGGGTCGTTAGTTGTGAGGCAATCAAACTGATATTAGATGGGGTGGTGGAGTTGGTGGACAGTTGTGCGTGCCATTTTCAGATGACACATGGGCTCAAGTGTGCTTGCCAGGTTGTTCAAACCAAGGAAGAAGGACGTCAATTCTATGCTCAAGAGTTGCATGTATTCTGGCAGACTTTGGATTATAAACCCCCCCCCCCCCCCATCTCAACAACAAGTAAGTGATGAAATTGAGCTTCAACGACAACACTTTAGGCGTCTTACTGTTGAGGTGGAAGAAAGAGGTCCTGAAGCAGTGAGACAAGTAAGAAATGCCCTATTCTATCGGCTTCACCCAGCAGAGGACAATGTGAGGGAACCAGAAGTGAATGAGAATCCGAGAGGGCGGCCTTGAACAAGCACCAGTTGCATTCGTTCATATTATGAGCGGTCTCGTTCGAGGATACTGGGCCTGGTTTGACTGGAGGCAGGTCCCGATCGAGTGGAGGCAGATCCCGGTCGAGTGGAGGCAGATCCCGATCGACTGGAGGCAGATCCCAATCGAGTGGAGGCAGGGGGCGATCGAGTGGAGGTGAATCCGACGAGCATGATACATATGAGTTTGAACTCTAATGTTTTAATATTAGTCCATCTAGTAGTAATTGGTTTATATTTGTAAATTTTGTCCAAGTAATTTTGACCGTTTGGTATATTTTTGTAGATTACTCATCCCAGAGCCCTACAGGGCAATATTCTTACCCTTACATCGAGAAGCTTTTTCCAGAGTTTGTTCGACCTTTGCTGGTAGGCGATTTCAACCCTACACCAGACGGCCATTATGTTTTTAGGGCACTTTCTCATTGTATTTATGGGGATGATAGTCACTATCTTCTCATGAGATCGACGATTGTCCAAGAAATCCAACAACATTTCTGGAAGTACGAGAACTTGTATAATGGTGCCCCAGCAACTCACATTTAACACATCAATTGGCTCGAGGTGGGTCATGCACCACCTGGGCGATGGATGGATTCTGAGGACTTGTTGGTGTTTGCCACCATCTACAATATCGTAGTCATGGTCTTCTCATACCAGTTGTATGATGTCAATAATGCAAACCGTCCACTACCCAACCGCTACGATGATGCCTATACTATATTGCCTATTGATGCGGAACCAGGTACGACACCACCAACCATGTTCTTATCACTGCACTATGTGAACAACCACTACATTCGATTGTACTTCAACCAGGATCAGTTTCCCATACCCCCTATGCATCCACTTTGGCATGGGCTAGCACATCCTAATGTGGCAGAGTGGGGAGCTATTCTCGAGGTTGGACAAAATTTGTTTGGGAGTCTTGGTGGTCGGCAGCGAGCCAGGCAGAGAGACCCCCGAAGTGCTATGGAAAGGGGTAGGGTAGGAGCAATGCATAGTGTTGCAATGCTTTATTTGTATGTTGTTTTCCTAGTTGTATTTTAAATTGCTCTAAATTAGTTCATATTGACCATGGAATGACCCTAGTGTCATTATCAAGACATCTTGTTTATGTTCTTTCTTTTCATCTTGAACTAATTCCCCGATTCCTTGGGGAAACTTATGGATTTCATTATCTACCCTCGATGTTTTAATCATGACTTGTTTTTCTTCCATTTTCCATCGATGGAGATAGCTATCAATTTAGAGGTATCACGACTCTAGAAATATGCAAACATCCGATCCAAACATAAGTAGTCAAACATGTGATCTAAACATAAATATGCAAACATGCAGTATAAACATAAACGACCGATATAAACACAAGTAGTATAAATCATAAATGGTCCAAACATCAAACAACTAAAAATCCCCTAGAGGGGGGAGTACCTGAGACACCCAGTACTCAGTCCACACATCCTGCACTCCGTGCAGTGCCCTATAGGCTCGTCGATGATGCTCAAGCCACTCCTCCTTAGTAACTGCGGCTGCTCGAACCGTAGGTGAAAACGTGTACAAAAGGTCGCAAACACACTGCACAAATAAATAAGAACAATTGTTAGTTTCACGCTAAGTATACTTAAATTTTAAACGATCAAGGGGTCAAATCTTACCGCTGCGGAGTCAACTAGTCGAACTGCATCTCCATCATCCTGTAGGACTTTAAAGTGGCAGTGCGACACGAACCAGTCAAGATAGTCGATCGTAGGCTCATATGGATACGTCGTCCAGGGCTGAGAGTGCATGTCTATATGAACCATGTGGGATAGTAGAGCATCCCATGCAGCATCAAAACTCTCAGGAATCTGTAAGACATATCCACCAGGTGCCTCTGGTCGGTTTGCTCGCTGAGTCCGCGAAGGGGTAGGCGGTACCATCTGTCGTTATCCAAATTGTCGAAGGCAACGAGCTGGATCATAGAACTCGCCTATATCAGCGAACCGGATCACTCCAGTGTACAAAGAGCGACGCACTGCCTGATGAGGCCTCTGATGGATAGATGTCCAAAACACATCAGAAGGGGTCAAGTTGTCAAGAGCTCGACGGTAGAACGCCAACCTCACACTGGGATCCGCCATAAAACCAGGTGCCAGCTGCCCAATCCATCGTGAAGCCCAAGCCTCATCAGGTCCAGCGACGGGTGGCTCGAATTGAGATGGCCTGAAACTCGGAAAGAAAGGGAAAATTCAAATTTTGATTTTCTTTGGTTGGCGAAAAATAGCAATTTGGCTGGCGACAAATAGCCGTTCACATATATACCATATACATGGGTATATATATATTTGACTGGCATGTATATATATTTATATATTTATCATGAAGAGGTTGCTAGCTATATAACAGATAATACACATACAAATAATTAAAAATTGTTACCCATATGATTGAAGTTTGTAAGTCGGGTAACCCTTAAGATAGTCAATTGTATGTTAAGTTGTAGAAGTTATCTTAAGGCAGCCAATGTTTCTGATGAGACAGAATTAAATCAGGTATCACGTAGTTAAGTAATAATATCATGTGATCATTTTCTTTTGGCTCTATTTGATTTATCATTTTAATTCAATATTAAAGTTCATATGACGGTCAATAGGATTATGTCTTAATTATAGATTTTCCAAATATATATAGAGTATGTACTTATGATAGAAGTTCTTCTATATGTTATTATGTGCGTCGTCGATTTGATTTTCTCCACGGATCACATCATTGAAGTCAAAATCAAAATAGATCCCATTCACCAGAATTATTATTAAATTAATTAACCCTCGTTGTCTCCGTTATTGTATGTCCCTCCAAAGCTAATAACCACGTCACATCCCTCTCTATAATATTTTAAAACATTATTTACATTTTACGTGACTCATCCTTCAACCAAGTTTTCTCTATCCCTACACCAGTCTAGCAAAACTTTAACATTTTTTTCAATCTAGTTAACTAATCTTTGTTGGCTCATTCTCTTCCTACAAAATATATAAGTAGGGGTGAGCTTCGGTTTGGTTTTGTTCAAATTGAATCGAACAAGAGCATACAGAGTACTGTACTGTCTGATAACACTAAGAATACTAACCAAATTTGTCTATTCGGAAGTCTAGACAAAACCAAATATGTGAGGTTAGTTTGTGCTTTTTCTCCTGTTATTTTTCACTCCTGATGCAAATAATAAATACGAAATTATATGCATAATTCATAATAAAATCAAACATTTCAACGCGTAAATCATAAAACACTAACGTGATTCAAATTAATATTCTAAGTCTCAAGACAAGTACAAACATAATAAATTCACCATATACAAACATCAAAATTCACCATTCTAGTTTCAAGACAAAAACAAACATCAAAATTCACCATTTGGAACATGATTCAAATTAATATTCATTTTTCCGTCGAAATGATCATGATTTTTGAAATGGTTGATTCAATTTAGATTTAGTTCGGTTTTACCCAACCTGATGTCCACCCCTATATATTAGTACACATTCAGCCACCTCATATGTTCTGTATCAAACAACTCATCATACTAAAAATGGCGACCATGATCCCAACCATCTTCTCCGAACTCTACACCGTCGCCCTCTTCTTCTCCAGCCTTCTCCTCCTCAAATTCCGGGTCCTCCTCCGCTCCTTACCCGGGTCGGACCGCCCCGCGGCCCAATTCGACCAGAATCGAGTCAGCTCAATCGAAGCCAAGTTCCCGGCGGTCCCCTACTACTCGGGCCCGAAATCAGCGGCGGAATGCGCGGTGTGCCTCTCGGACTTCTGCAGAGGGGAAAGCGTCAGGACGCTGAGCTGCAAACACGTGTTCCACCGCGACTGCCTCGACAGATGGCTGACGTCGCCGGCGGGTTTGGCAGTGCCGTCTTGCCCGCTTTGCCGAACCCGGCTGGCTCTGCCGGCGCCGGAGGAAGGGAAGGGGACGGCCGCGGCGGTGGACGATTGCGGTGGCGGTGAGTGGGGGCGTCGGGAGATGTTGGCCTTGCTGGCTAAGTTCCGCGAAGAAGGCAGCAACGTACGACGACCGAGATGAGAGCATTCGTCGGCCGGCGATGGCGGCATCTTTCAGGGAAAATGATGTTTTTGGAATCCATGTACAGTTGCTAGCTAGTATAATTTGGGGACGTTTTTTCATTTTGCGACTTTTGGCGCTTGCTGAAATTTAGTTGCTAGCAATTATTGAGCTTTGTTGCCGATCAGTGAAATAATGGAAATACGTGCCGAAAACGTTTGCTCCTCCACACTAAATATGGTTAATAATTAACCTATTTTTTCTTTTAACTTCAACTCGTTTTGCTTGTTGTTTGTAATTGTAATGTAACGGGCGGACAGGACAACACATGTTCATCCACGGCACCGGCCTAACTATTAACTAATATTATTATTATTATGACTTTGCTACGTTTACATGTCAGTTTATATGCATGTCAACGTAAGGGTCAGGATAGTATAACAACACCTTAAGGTGTTGTTATACTAACAACAGGATTCATTAAGGGTATAAGGGTAAATATACTCATATAATTAATAAAATAAAAATTAAGATTTCCCAATTTCTATCACTCCCGATCTTCTCCTCCCGGCTCGCGCGTTCTTGATTTACTGTAGCCCTCGGCAGAAGGGAACTCATTCACGTCGCCGGTCTTGCTGTCGCCGCTCATGCTTCGTCAACTTTGCAATTGTTCGGGCGAGTAGGAGTAGCTTCCTACTTTGTTTCCACAACCGCCGTCTGCTGGAGTGAGGTTCCCGGCGTCATCTGACGGAGCGTCGTTGAGTGGGTTTAAGGAATGGGATGTGAGGAGCTCCGCCGCCGTCGTTTGGGGGAACTCATGCTCGTCGCCGGTCTTGCCATCGTTGCCTCATTCTTCATCGTTTGGTAGATAATTATAGTTTGATAACACAGCAACGGTACAAAGTAAATCACAGAGTCACACCGGATCTATGAGTGGAGCAAGTAGAAAGGGGCTAAGGATTTTTATTCCTTCTTCATATTTTGATTTTGCAGGGAAGAGTGGAGACAGAGGAAGATAAGGTACGTACCCACTAAGGGTGCGTTTGGATAAGTGAATTTTAAATGTAAGGTATTTGAAATATTAGCATTTGAAATGGATGTATTCGAAATATTAGCATTTGAAATACATGTAATTCAAATTCATTGTTTGGATACTCATTTGTAATTTATTTGTATTTTGTATTTTATGATTTTCAATTTCAATTTTAAATTTTCTGGTCACTTACTACAAATTTTGGTAAATTACAGTTTGGTACCCAAAACTATTTTTCCTTACAATTTAGTACCTAAACTTTTAAATTTTTACAAAAAGGTCCTGAAATTTTAATGGTAAAATTACATTTTGGTACCTTTATATGTTTTGCCTCACACTATAGTACCTAAACTTTTCATATTTTACAAATAGGTCCATTCTTTTGTTAGGAGGTATTTCAAATCACTAGTTGTTGAAATGTATTTGAAGTTGACAAAAAATACACTAGACATGTATTTGGAAATCACCCCATGAATTTGACACAAATCCAAATACCAAATGTAATTAATATCCAAACACATGATTTGGTATTTGGAAATCCAAATCACAAATACCAAATCCAAATCATTGTATCCAAACGCACCCTAACATAATTTCTTATTTCTATCAAACTATTAATTAACTCATCACTATTCAATCTTAATCATCCGATGTTCTGCGCACAGAAGAGGGAGAAAAGGCGCTGGCTGTTCAGAAAGCTAAGCAGCAATGGCAGTCAAAACAATGCCCCAGCAGCAGTACTTCAGCAAGATAGCAGCAGTGAAGAAATCGGCAGTACAGCAGCAAAGGAGCTGGAAGCGGCGGAACAGAGGAGGAGCGCGATGGTGGTGGACTGGATGCGGTGCCTCGAGTTGGCGAGGACTTCGACGCAGTTTTTCGCGGCGGTAGCGCGGTTGATGTTGGAGGAGGAGGATCCCATAATCGACTTCACCATCGACTGCGCGATCGAGAGATTGGAAGAGGAAATTGAAATCGCCGATTGAATTAGGTCGATTGGAGTAGGGGATTCTGGAGAGACACGGCGGAATTGCCCAGGGAAGACCGACAGACGTCATTTTTTTTATGACGTATCAGAAGCATCCTAATGTTGAACATAAGTCTCGTAAGGCAAAACAGAAACACCACAAAGTGAGCCATAAATATTTTTAAATCACACCAAAAACCTTATTTCACAAACCATAACTCTCCTAAAACAAACCAAAAACACCACAAAACACACCAGAAACTTCATAAAACAAACTACAAACAGGGTAAAACAAACCATAAAAAAGCATACCAAAAACCTCCCAATGCATGCCACAAATTCCCTAAAACAAACAAGAAACACCACAAACCAAACCACAAATATTTTGAAAGCATACCAGAAAACTCATAACGCAAACCATAAACACCGTAAAGCAAACCACAAAAACAAACCAGAAACGTCCTAATGCAGACCAAAAATATATTAAAACAAACCAGAAACCTCACAAAGCAAACCACATAATTTTCAAAAACACACCAGAAACCTCATAATGCAAACCACAAACACGTTAAAGCAAACCACAAAAACAAACCACAAACCTCCTAATGCATATCACAAATCTCATAAAACAAACCAAAAACCCCTCAATGCAAACCACAAAATTTTTGAAAACAAACCAGAAACTTCTCAATGCAAACCATAAACACGATAAAGCAAACCAGAAACTTCTTAATACAAACCACAAACACGATAAAGCAAACCACAAAAGGCATACAAAAATATGAGAAACCAAACCATAAATCTCACAATGCAGACAATAACATCCGGTGGTCATTGGCCGTTGATCGGTCAGCGAAGACCGTTGACCGGTCAACGAAAATCGTTGACCAAACTCCGATGACCGTCAGTTACCAGATTCCGGCGCCGATAGGCATATTCCGGCCCCGATGACTAGATTCCGACGCCGGTAAGAATATTCCGACCACGGTGAGCATATTCCGGCGACGGTGGCATATTCCGATGACAAAATAGCATATTCCGGTGACGAAAAGCATATTCCGGTGATCGGCGACCATTTTCCGGCGACCGATGACAGAATTCCGGCGACCAAAATTTTGGGCCGAAAAAATAAAAAAAATGTTTTTTTATTTTTTTAATTATTTAAACATATTTTTCATAATGACAATTATACCCCTGCTTTGATTTTACACTAGGTCAACTCATCTAATAAAAAGTCATCACAACCTTAACTTCCTATTGGTTGGAGACTAGTGTTGTTACAATAACAACACAAGGAGTGTTGTTATAGTATCTAGTCCCTCAACGTAACTTGCACTTTTCGGTCGACGTTATATATAATTAGGTCGATCTAATCTGTTTTTTCAGTTTTGTAAGACTCAACGATACGGTTGACCTTTTATAGCTAATGTTCGACATCTTTGGGAAGCGAGCAGAATAAATGGTCGTCCCAAATACCTCAAAGGACTGATTCTGTGTGTTTTATGATGTGTGTTTTATTGTATTTCTTGTTAGTTTGTTTAGTTGTTATGTCATGAAGCTATGAGTCCTTGCTATCATGATTTAGGACTGATTTTTTTGGTTTGAAACGTAATTTGTACGAGCAAAAGAACCACCCCACATCGACACACATAAGAAAAAAAAACTTACCCATTAGTTCTCTAATTATTTTTTTATAAATATTAACTCTCTAATTTTCATACAATTTTTTTTTCAGTTGTTGCCATAACTAATCAAGACTTTTTTTACCAAACATGAACCTTTTAATATATTCAATGACCAAACATGCTATGTAGGCAATAGGGCTGGAAATCCAGCCCCAGTTTTTCGGTCAAGCCGAAAACTGGCCAGTTTAAACCGTGTCGGTTGTAATCGGAAACCGGATCTCAACCAATCCAATCCCGTTTACGGTTGTAATGCCCACAAGTCCGGTCCGATCTGGTTAAAACCGGAAAAACCGGACAACAACAAATATAAAAAATACAACCCAACCCAACCCAGCCCATCCCCTGCCGCCCTGCCCAGCCCCCAGCCCGCCCCGCCCCAGTCCAGACTAGCCCAGCCCAGCCCGCCCAGCCCCCAGCCCAGCCTAGCCCGTCCCCCGAAACCCTAATCGCCGCCGCCTCCTCTGTTCTCACCTCTCTCCCTCTGACCCTCGAGCTTCTCTCTTTTCCAATCACCGACCCACCACACAAGAGTAGGAGAAGAAGAAAATCCGACCATCCTCCATTTCGTCACGGACCATCGCCACTCCGCCACCAGAACTCGATGGCGATGGTGAGTGGTGACGGCGACGGCGACGAAGCTCTCCAAATCCCCAGCGATGGCGATGGTGACGGCGACGGCGACCGAGGAGATCTGATCGCTTGACACACGATGGGCGACATGCATCGCCTCTCCAAAGTTTCTCTGCTGCCTTTCTCGCTCGATCTCCCCTTCCCGGCTCGCGCAACTCCAACCACTTCTCCAGCTCCAACTCTTCTCGCCTCTCTAACTTCTATCGAGCTCATAGGCAGAGCGAGCCAGAGGAGTGCTTGAGGGAGAAGAAGGCAATGCTTGGGTGTATTTGGTTTGATCCAGAAGAGGGAGAAGGAGAAGAAGAATCGCGAAAGTAGATGGAAAGGAAGAATCGCGAGAGGAGCAGCGGTGAAGATTGAGGTTGGGGAATAGATTAAGGATTGAAGTTTGGTAGGATAGGGTGATTTTTTGTCATTCAAACGGCTGTGTTTTGGGGTGGTAGAGGAGATCCGGTTTTTTGGTTTAAACCGGATCAATCCAGTCTGGTCACGGTTGAAACCGGGTAACAATCCAATCCCGTCTTCGGTTGTGGAGTTCTCCAATACGGTTGTAAAAAACCGGGTCAATCCGGTCCGGTTTAAACCAAACCGGACTGTTTCCCAGCCTAGTAGGCAAATTTTGTTTCATTCATTGGGAAAGGATACGTATTATTGATGTGTTGATCTTTTATATATTTGACCCACTAGTTAGCTAGTCATGGGTTCGAGA